CCATCCTGATGCTTTTTCTTCTCAGAAGAAAATAAATAAGAACAAGCAATGAAAAGTGATGAGTAAAATATCTGCTGCCTTCCCATTTCTTTACTTTAGTCAGCTAAAGATTCTCAATAAATCTTAACATAATGCTCAAACACTTTTTTAAAAAATAGGTTTTTAAAACATGCAGCATCATTCCCTTCCCTCCTCACAAATGTTATACTGATACTCTGCAATTTACAAAAGTGCCACTATAATAATGACTAATGCTGTTACTTGTTCATAAATGGCCACATGCAAACATGACTCTTAACTGGGAATCAAACCATGAGAACCCTTGTGATGCAGTGGTTAGAATTCAGTATTGCAGGCTAATTCTGCCCACAGCCTGGAGCTCAATCCTGATGGGCTCAAGGCTGACTCAGCCTTCCATCTTTCTGAAGTTGGTAAAACCCAGATTATTGAGGGAAATATGCTGACATTGTAAACTGCTCCAGGACTGCTGTAAATCTCTATAGAGCAGTATATAAGTCTAAGTGCTGTTGTTAATGCAACAATTTATGATCGAACAAGCTTACATTTTGAAACAGGGAGGAAAAGGAGACACACCTGTAGCAAGGAGCAAATGTGAGTCTATGCAATGACACATATGAGCTTTGATTCATTGTAATTCTACCGCAGGAGGCAACCTAATGCTTTGTGTATCTCCCTCAGAAGCTCCGCAGTTTCTACATTATTTGACTAAATTTTAAGACATTCTTTTAATTAAGCATGAATATAAATTGGAATCTGGCATTCTGCAAAGCATCAGCTTTTCTGTTTATCATATCATTTCAGGGCCTGTTTTGGAAGTAAGCCCACCTGTTCAAAAACAATAGGACTGGTACAAAGCATTTTGGAAATGCTATCAGGAAGCAACCACCTCCTCCTCCTTCTCCTCTCCTCTTCTTCTTTCCTCTTCCTCTTCTATCCCTTCAGATGTTAAGGGAAATACAAAGTTTTGGTTCTTGCTCTTCTGGCAGTTTCAACCATTGTTATTTTATTTTTCTTGTAGCATATCTTTGATGTTGTCTCTCTATCTTCTTCTGAGTCTGCCTTGTGTTCTTTTACCTTCTCCTCCTTTTGTACAATCTGAAACCCCAAGACATCCTCTCCAGATGAGAAAAGCACTTTCTTTGCTGTTTTTGTACGTAGTTTTAAAATTGGTTCTATGCCAATTCTTTCTCTTACTATCTCATTTCTGATTTTATCTCTTCTGGTCACCCCAGCAGCTTTCCTCAGACATCTCATTTCCATGGTGACTAACTTTCATTTATGCCTTATTGCAAGTGTCCATGTTTGGCATTGGTAACATAGGATGGGGAAGAATATTCTTGGAACATTGCCTTCTTGTAGTCAAGTGTTTAATAATAGGATATACCCATCATGATAGTCATTTGTTAGAACAGACATTTTCCTCCTGTCATATTAACTATTTTGTGAGACTGTCCATAATATGATTTTAGGACTTTGCTACCTTAGCTTTGACTCTTGAGGAAATGTGTTTCTCGGTCAAAAAGAAGCAGCTCATCCCTAGTATGGGAGAAATGCTGAAAATTCATCTATCATATTGATGTGAATGTTCAACCTTTTCCTTCTTACTTGTACATATTTTAGAACTGTAAACTACTGGGCCTTTCTTCTTGGTAGCAGCAGAATTGTCAAGATAAGACATTTATTAAATGACTTAAACTGAGAATAGGGAAAGGTTCACTAAAAAAAAAAATCCATAATGACAGGAAGAACATTTTGAATCCTGGAAAGAATTGCACAAAGGAACAGCTAGCTAGTTACTTTAATTTGATGCACACCATGATTCCTGGAAATGCTAATTCAACTGCTGGTGACTACATGGTCAAATGTATAATACTTGTACTTGCCTTCAGTAATAACCCATAGCTCTTTCAAGGACATTCTAGAATAACAAAATTGGAGGTCTTCTACTCCAACTCCCCATCAAGCAGAAAACCCTATACCATTTCAGACAAATGGTTGTCCAATCTCTTCTTACAAACCTCCAGTGTTTTTCAGAGAAAACATTAACTGAGCATACTCACTGCAGGAATATGATACTAATTTGAAAGCACAAAGACCTAGTTTCTTCTTTTGTGGTATTAATTGGATGAGCATCAAATTAGCTTTGACACAGAAATTTACACGTATCACTTTGGCATTTTTGTATCACTCCAATTTAGTTTACTAGAATAGAAAATGTATGCTTATCCTATAAAACTAGGTGTTGTTGTAGAACAGCGCACAGGCAGGGCTAACTTATGGCGTTGTTGGAGCACAGCTGTCAGCATCTTTCTAATATCCAATATTAAGCTACAGTGATGGCAACTGAAAGATTTCACCTTAGCATACCATTTGTTTTTTGTTTTGGCATGGAGTCCAAACATTTGATGTTAATTATATAAAGTTTCAACATTTAGTGTGCTCCCCAGCTTTTTTCAAGTGTTAAATCTGATGTACTTGTTCTGTTGAGTTGATAATTGGGACACAGGCACATATGAAACTAGTTATTGGTTAGACAACATTCTGTCCCCCACCTCATATGTCTTTGTGCCACTGATTCTATTCTGAGATGATAGATAAATAGATAGAGAGACTATAGATAGATAGATGATAGATAGATGATAGATGGATGGATAGATAGAAAGGAAGAAAGAAAGAAAAAGAAAGAAAGAAATGATAGATTGCATCACATTCCTGTCAGAATAACTGAGGTGTTTTCAGGTTGAAAGGATCAGCCGGTGACATCACCATTGCACAGGGAATACCCAGTTGGGGGCACCTTTCATGTCCTGAGGAAGAGCTGGAGCTAATGACAGGAGTTCATCCTGTCTCAGCAGCATTTGGGTCTTGAATACAGGCTTGCTGTTGTCAACCCAGTGTCCTAACCATGTGAGCCACTGTGCTCCTAGATAGATAGATAGATAGATAGATAGACAGACAGACAGACAGACAGACATTAAATTATGTCCCTTGCCATAGCCTTTTCCCATCTGCAAAACCAATGACAGTTGAAGAAACCCATACAAAATAATTCAGACCTCCAGTTCTATCTCCAATAATCTGAATAAAATTTAAGTTCAATCATCCTCATTCAGTACAAAGGCCTAATCTGGCCATATTATCCAGAATTGTTTTGTAACCAATGCTAGAGAAGACCACTAGTAGTCCAATAGAACCATAAGGGATATACTCACTTTGTTCATTTGACAACTTAGGTCTTATATCAGTGCAAATAAAACAATTTAATTGAAATGGGTTTAGATCAATCGGTATTGTCAGCATCCATTACTCCATTCTTAATTACCTTTTCCTGTATTCCAATATCACAAATTGGCTTCTATAATTTACATTTCCACTATGTCCACAAATGTTGGGATGATGTCTTTTAACTCTACACCATGGACAAAATTTATCTCATTTTTAATTGGAGTACACTACTTCATAAATATTACAATTATTATCCTATAATTAATAGTGAATTTTAAAAAAACTTGCTGGTGTCCAGGATGTGAGACAAACTTGACAGAAGATAAAACTGAAATGTGTTGGAAAAGATTACAAAAAACAAAACAAAAAACCATTGGCCAAACTATCTTAATTAAGTGAGTTAAGATAGTTTAGCCAATCTTCTGTAGTCTTTAATATTTTCTGAGCGCAGTAACTTGTGTGAAATTGCAATCACTTTACTACCATAATTGGATCAGTTAAACCAGGGGTGTCAAACTCAAGGCCCAGGGGCTGAATGCGGCCTGCGGAGTGCTTAGATCTGGCCTGTGGGGCTGCCCTGGAAACAGTGAAGGACCATCCTGCGGTGCCTCTGCCAGCAAAAATGGAACTCAAGAAGGCTGCAGGCAGCCCTTCTGAGCTCCATTTTCATTGGCAGCGGGTTGCAGGAGGCCGTCACAGCTAAAAATGGAGCTTGGGAGTCCATTTTTGCTAGCAGGGGTACCATGGGCCACCACAGGCGCCTCTGACATGAGTGATGACAAGTTGACCATGGCCATCTTGGCCACACCCATCCTGCCCCCCCCCCCAGGTCAAACACAACCAAGATGTGGCTCTCAATAAAATCAAGTTTGACACTCCAAACTTGAACTTTTGTTCTTGGACCCATCTGTTTTGCCTCTTTTGATGTCCCCCACAGTCCACACAAGTTTAGCGCAGTGGAACAATACATTTGTATTCATACTGAAACAAATATTTGGTAATGGCCTCCAATGTTGATAAATATTAAGTCCAATGGTTTAATACTCTACGGAAAGGCCACACATATTTGATTACAGTTTTGTTTTGTGTTATATTAATTCTTCAGATACTCTTAATCAGCAAACTATTTGTAGGAAACCAGAGAACCCAACAAAAGTAGTTAGAGGAAAGAAGAGTGCACAGATTTTTGGAATCTTATTTGAATCATTCCAACTAAGCACAACTGACTCAGAAACACCCAGCCTGATTTAATGGATCCAGGCCACTTCTTCATTTTGTTTCAGATAATTAATTGGTCTTCTATTCCAACCCTTTGCATAAGCATGAGACCCTATACTCTTCCAGACAAGTGGCTGTCCAGTCTCTTCTTAAAAGCCTCCAGGGTTGGAGAATTCACAACTTCTGAAGGCAAGCCATTCCACTGATTAATTGTCCTCACTGTTAGGAAATCTCTCCTTAGTTGTAGGTTGCTTCTCTCCATGATTAGTTTCCATCCCTAATTTCTTATCTTGCCTTCTGGTGCTTTAAAAAATATTTGTCCACCTCTTCTTTGTGGCAACTCCTCAAATATTGGAACACTGCTATCATGTCACCACCCCTAGTCTTTCTTTTCACTTTTCTGTTGCTTTTTTCACGTTCACTTTGGAGATTTATGGAAACTGACACATGATTTCTGAACTGATGATTTCTATAGCCTCAATAGATCTATACCTATACATGATTTTTTTTTAAAAAAAATATAAAATTCCACTTACCAGCACAGTCACTACACGAAGAACTACTCCCCTCATGTTATTTTCCAGTCTTCTATCTGTTAGTGACCCATTGAGACCAGTGGTAGGATTCCAGCAGCCCAGCTGAAAAATAGAAAAAAGAAAAAGAAAGGATGTGTCCCATCAATGGTCTTAAAACCTGGTCAGTTGAAGAATCTCTTTCCTAAATGGCTTCAAAGTTAAGAAACATATTCTCTCTGGGTTTGTGTTTATTTCTCATTCTTTCTGCCTTCAGGAAATGACTTTGACTTTTTTTTTCAGCCAGACATTTTTTGGACTTCGTGTAACTTTTTGCCTTTTAAAATTGCTTTGAATTTTGAATTGAGAGCCTGATGGAAGGGAAGACAAAATATACAGAACCAATAAATAAATGATTTCTTTGATATCAGCTTCCTGCAGAGCCCGTGATTGAAAATCTCTAAAATGTCTCCTGGACTGCATGGAATCCTGACTAACATGTATCTTTTTTGTTTTGTTTTTAATCCCAGGAATGTGGAACAATTGTTATGGATCCTCTTAAGCCTTCTGGCATCACCTTTTCTCCTTTGACATTTTATGAGATTATGCAGTAATTACTACCATCTTCTTTTCCAGCACAAAGATATCTACTTCTATGCTCAGCTCATTGTTTTGGTAAAGCTCAGAGGGACCTAACAGAATAACAGAGTTGGAAGGGACCCTGGGGGTCTTTTAGTCCAACCCCCTGCTCAAACAGGAGACCCTATATCACGGGCGTCAAACTCATGGCATCACATTGCTGTCACGTGACGTATCGTGACGCTTTTTCCCTTCCTGGAGTTGGGGTGGGTATGGCCTGTATGTGATGCTTCCGGTCCATGGGCCACCAGTTTGACACCCCAGACCTATATTATTTCAGGCAAATGGCTGTCCAATCTCTTCTGGAAACTTCCAGTGATGGAGTACCCGCAACTTCTGAAGGCAACCCATTCCACTGATTAATTGTTCTCACTGTTGGGAAATTTCTCCCTGTTTCCTAGGACAGGAGATAGCAAAATGGACTAGATGGGGAAACTCTGTAGCAGTGCCTCACTACTCAAAGCCAGTTGCTCCTCCTGCTTGTAGAAAAATATCTTTAAAAGAAAAGCAATTAGTTTTTATTCAAAATATTCATAGATAGGTTTTGTTCTCCCCCTCCCTACAGTTTAATCACTGCCATCTTCCAGATGAAAGAAAAGCTAGCCTTCTGCTGTAACAAAAAAGGACATTAAATCTGCTAGGTTGAGCTCTATAAACACATTACTTTTATTCAGAACTAATATTTTTAGTTACATAAAAGAACTAATTAGAATTTAGATCCAATAAGCCCAGTCAAACATGTGGATAGTCTGATTACCAGAGATACTGTACTGCTTTTGCCAAATATCAAACTACATGAAGAATACAAAAATTGTTCTTTCGGAAGGTCAACAAAAGCCTATTTTACCTATGTTCATTAATATCTATTTTTATATAATGAACTTTTTAACCCAGCTCCATTATAAGATGTGTTGGAGGGGGTGGTGGGGGAGATGAAATGATAGCACAGCCCTAAGATAAAACAAACATTTTATCTCAATCTCCTTTCCTTGTTTAAATCGGTACTGTTTGCTTTCCAGTGTCCACATTTCATTTTCACCTCTCTACTGGCATTTAATGGCAGTCAAATTCATGACAAATGTGTGCTTGCAGGCAAAGAAAAACATAACATTGATTTTTCAGGACTGGAGTTGTTGCTTGAGATTCATTAGTATTGATCATCTTTTATAAATTAGGTTTGAATGGTTTGTTCCAATACTAGAGAACTACCTAAGGATTATTCTGGAAATATAAGGTGCATGTATATTAAGAGTGAGTACCATGTTGCTGACAGAATGAATATAGCATTGTCCACAGTCTTGTTTCTCTCTCTCTCTCTCTCCCCCTCCCCTTCTCCCTCTCCCTCCCTCTCCCCCTCCCTCTCCCTCCATCTCTCTCTCCTTCAAAGGTCATAAAATTTCCCTTCCATATTCTTGCTTTCTAATCTATTTCACTTAAAAAAAACCCCAACACTATACTACACCATCTGGAGTTCTACAACAAGGAATAGGCAGTTTGAAAGAAAATTGATTTCTAGGCTGATTTTATGGACTTACAAAGCACTTTTAATCATTGTACTGAATATTAGAACATATGGGATATACCTTTTTCATTGTTAAACTATTTTCTGATAATCTTCTAAGCATGCTGTTTTTCTCAATATATTTATGTATATCAATAGTCCCCTTCATGCACTACAGGAACTTTTCATATGAAGATTGAAGAGCAAGATCCCACACTGGACATATGCAAGAAAGTTGAAGATTTACAACAGGAAAAGCAATATATGTGAAATTGTACCAAGAAGGGCTCGAATCCCAGTTCCCCACTCTCTATTAATGCCTGTTTGGGAAAAGTATATACATTCTGACTGTTAATAGTTATTTTTAGTTTTTTTTAAAAAAATATTTCTCACAGGCCATCTGTCTCAGAAAAGAGTTTTGAGCAGTATACAATAAAATGTTAAAATATAAAATCAGTGTATAAAATTTAAACATTTAGAAAGAGACAAAAATAGCAATAGCACTTAAACCTAAAGTATATATGGTTTTATATAGTGCTTTATAGCATTCTCTGATAGCTTTACAATATCAGCATATTTTAACAATCAGAATCCTCATTTTACCATCCTTGGAAGGATGGAAGGATGAGTCAACCTTGAGCCAGTCAGGATCGATCTTCTGGCTATGGGCAGAGTTAGCCTGCAATACTGCATTCTAACAATGGTTCTTGATTAATGATTAAACACTGTTAAAATTAATTGAAAGATGAAGAGTGAGCTTTCAGGGCATTATTATTATAAGTGACTACATAATTATCTTAGATAATTACAATAAAAAAATAAGTTCTAAAGTCAAAGAGTTTTAATTCTATTTTGTTCCTAATTTTTACCTTAATTCTTAATTCGATTCTTAATATTAAATCTTAATACTAAGTTGAAATGGATATGAAACATATTTTCTTCTGCATCTAAAACCTGTTTGTTCTTTCCCATATAATCACATTTTTTCCATCTAAAATTGATTTTCTGTTTCATCCACAATAATCTTTTCATTTAGTTTGACTTTCTAATATAAGCTTGGTTTAAATGGGGAGGTTATTTTTACGAGGTCTCAGGATACAAAGGGTTAATCTCTTCCCCACTTCACTCTGTTTCTGAGTTGTTGAACTATCCTTTGACTATCACTTGTATAAATAAGATCATCAGTGCATATTAAATTGCTTTTACAACATTTGCTCAACCTTACTTAGAAAATGTTGTTATAGTGGTTTTGCTTCTTACGGTCAAATAATTCCTTCTATCAACCTTACAGGGATAAAGTCCACCAATTAAACATTTCCTTTACACCACAACTACTAATTTAGAGAGGCAGATGTTCTAGTGATTGCCTATATTGTCACTCTCATTGGCTCTTTTTACATCTGTGAGCAGGGAAATCTTTTTTCTTCAAGAGATGGCTTTTGTCTTTGACGAGGCTTTGTTGTAACATGTAGCAATTATGAATCTAGCCAATTGCGAGTTGTTCAAAAATAATGAATTTATGAATTATATGCACAGGTGCATTTGTATATGTATACATGCACACACATACTATTTGTGTGTGTATCTATACATGCACTTGCACATACATTGTCCACCAAAGGTGAAATGGAAGTGAGCAAACATTACTTTGATAAAAATGTTTTCATACTTAGTGGTTTTATTTGTCCATAAGCAAATTTATCAGTAAGACTGGAATGATAAGCAATTGGAGCAGGGGTTCAGAATTAAAATAAACTCATTAACTCATTAAAATCAAAGATGAATTTCATGTTTCTTAACCATCAGAAAACTTTTAGAACTTTGGGCTACAACAATCCCAAGAATGCTTATAGAGATGAAGTCTTTGAAATTAATGGCATATCTATCCAAATTAATAGGGTTGACACTGAGTGATAGGCATTTGGAAGAGTGTGAATTCCAGTGAAGATGAGCCACACCGAGATGTACAATTAATTTAGATCTCTCCATAGGAAAAACCCCAAGTTATTAGCTTTCCAAGCCTCCATCCTGTTATCATTGCATCTGATCCTAAGACATTAAGAAACTCATTTATTCTATAGCAATACAATGTTCTGTGAGATGAAATAACCATCTTAAAATGACTAATGGCCCCGATAATATAGGGCAGCTGGCTCACCTATGTTTAGTCTGAACACTGCAAATCATTGGCTACTGCCAGCCTGATTGCTAATACCAGTGAGACCTATTTCTTCAAGAAAATGTAGATTTATGGATTGGGCTATTCTCCCCCCTTCCTTTTAATCTTGATGCCTCCTGGAACCATGGTCCATGATAAATGAGGTAGCTCCTTCAATGGCAGAGAGGAGGGACAAGAATCATGATATGAAAAAGGAGGAAGGTCCTGATAGAAATGAGTGATGTTTTTCTCTTTTCTCTGAGTTTTCAAAATGTTAAAACTCTCAAAGAATATCAGTATATGAATCAGTTAATGGAATCATGGCTTCAGAAGAGAACATAGACACAGTGTTTGTCTCAAACCTTTTAGTGACTTCTTCTACTTCTTTTTGTCCTATACAATTTCACCTTTTATGCTTTTAAAATCCTCCTTAATAGCCATATAAAATTAGAATTTATGTCATTGGTGAATTGCTTGTTTAGAGTTTCCCATCAGAAATTTTCAGACAAGAAAAATCTTTCAGGACCAGCTCCTTGCCAACACTATGGTCACAAGCCACAGTCACCCCCATCTTCAAAAAAGGAGACCCCAGCCTAGTTGAAAATTACAGACCAATCTCTTATTGCTGCATCACCTGTAAAGTCATGGAATCAATTATTAACCAATCCATCATCCTCCACTTAGAAACAAACAACCTACTCTCCAATAAACAATTTGGTTTCAGGAAAAAACTATCCTGCAATCTGCAACTCTTACACTGCAAAAACATATGGACTACACAACTCGATCAGGGCAAAGCAATAGACGCAATCTACATAGACTTCTGTA